CCAGATTTTGTAACACAGGTGTTAAAAGTGATAATCCAACACTTTTAAAACACATTTCTGTCTTGCAATCAGATGAGATTATCAATATTAGTGTCTGTGTGTCCATTAAAGAGATAGGTTCATGACGTGTTTGGCCTGTAGCTTAGCACAAAGACTGGACATAAACCTAAACTGTTAGCCCATCTCTATCGAGAACACACCTTCAGACTCCTAAGTTATTCATGCAAAAATACTGAAAGACTTCAAGTGATTTTGCTGGTAAACAACATTTTTTTACCCTGATGAAATGTGTTTAGATGTTGATTATAATTTTGTTCCTAAACTAACCGTGGGTCAGAAATTGGGGTTTTGAAAATATATGTTGGCAATTTTGTGCTGTTTGTTTTAACATATAATCTTATGGTTTTACACTGAATGTATAAAAGGAAACATTTCTTCTTTAGCAGTTGTTAACAGTAAACATCAGATTAGATACTGTACATGACCAATGAAGCAGTGAGCCAAAAACAAAAACATATCGACTTCAGTCAGATCACTAACTGAAAGCTGCCCAGCTCAACCACAGTCTTGCTCAAGGGCATCTTTGTGGGCTCTTGTTCTTTCACAACAGATTTTCCCTCCTGTTTTCTGGGGTGTTCAACACACTCGCTGCAGAAGCCACTTGTTTACATTCCATTTATCGAGCCATCCGCCACAATACAGCACAGTAATTTGGTGTTATAGCGACCAAAATCCTTTTTGAAACGCAGTTTGGCAGCTGCAACTGCAGTGCCATGCACCATTTCATTTCTGTCATCACCAGTTGTCACCACCTCTGTAGAGCAGTGTGTTAGCTAACAGAATGTCCTGTCAGCATTGTATGTCTTGCAATTGTATGTTAATTTTACTTTACATGACTTTTTTTTTACTGGGAAACATAAACTGGCAGCATACTGGTCCTTTCCTCCCAGATCGCTACCCACCCTTATCACTGAAGAAAGGAGCCACAAGTCAAATATATTTTGCTAAAGAATCATCTTTGCACCTGATTTGCATGATGATCCATGTCTCAGCTGTGTCATGGATTAAAAACCCTCATTTGACCTTCCCCCATCCGGCCATTTGCATTTTCCCTTCATTATGACCGTGAATTTAATAAGTTACATCAATAATAGATCAAAGCCCCGAAACCACTAGAAGAATCCTCATAGTTTCCATTAGATTAAAAACATTATAAATTATCATAACCTATTAGGCTCATTGAATAATGGTTTGTGGTGAGTGACCAAATCTTATTATGAGCTGTATTTGTCTCTACTGGTCAGCAAAAGCCTAAAGTGGTTTCCACTTTAAGCTGCATTCAAGCTGTTTCTTATTGGTTTTCCAGAGGTTTCCATCAAATGTGAGTGATTTGTGGTGCCTTCTAATATCCTCGAAATCTGTGATGTACCTGTACTGGTGGCATTTTATGCTTATATGACAGCCTGTAAAAGTTTCTACTGCAGTCTATAATGGTGTCATGGAGTGTGATAGTTTCTTATGGTTTCTATTGTTGTTGATGTTATGGTTTGTAATAGTTTATAATGGTTTCTATGGATTACCATTGCTGTGTGTACTGGTTTCTAGTGGTTTCTCTTACATTCTTTTATGTTTTTAATGGTTTATGGTGGCATGTGTATAGGTTTTTACTGCAGTCCACAAAGGTGTCTGATGGTTTATTATGGCTTCTGTTGTTAGATTTTATGGTTTGTAATAGTTTGTAATGATTTCCATTGATGTGGGTTATTGTTTCTGTCACATTCTCTAATGTTTCTACTGGTTGGTGATGGTGTATAATAGTTTCTGTAAAGGTTTCTGATGGTATCTAATGGATTCCACTGAAGCCTGTGATTGTTTCAAATTGGTCCATTGTGTCCTTGTGATATTTACTAAAACAAGCCTTCTCTGGTTACTTTCTATTATTGTTTGGTTTCTACAATGACCTAAATATACACATTCTTTTATATTACTAATGCTAAAGTCAGCCTCTGTTATGGCCCATAATAGTGCTGGGAGATCTGCAACGTAGCAAGCCAATCCTCAAAGCGTAATGTTGAGCCTTTCCACAGTTGGTCTTCTTTTCTGTTTTTGTTGAATGTGTCTCTACAAGCTCAGTGTCAAAATCCACTCACCTGGAATTCTATAAAATCCTCTGGAATTTTCAGGAATGTCGTCCTGTCATACTTTACTGAGACAAGAAGAGAGGACGTGATCATGACTGAGGGGCTGACAGTGAGAGCCGTGAACCCAACACCCAGCTAGTACTGCTGAGGAGCTCATGAGCACACACTGTACTTTCCTCCAGTCCACCTACTCACCCATCAGCTCCAGTTTATCTTCTTGAACCTCACAAATGACCTCTCGACTATGTGAACTTTGACCTTTTTATGAACTAGCTAATAACCATCAATTATAGGAGGATTCCTCATGTTGACAAGAGAGAATGTCAGTAATTACTGAGGTTTTTTTTCTTTCTGTCTTTCAGGGACTGAACGTTGCAGGAGAAAGCCAAGTTCAACAGCTGCAACTCCGACCCAAAGATTTCCCAACATGACATTATGTTTGGCCAAGGAAACAAATTATATCAACTGATATCTGTATGTCCTGATTTCACAAAACAAACATCCACAGATGAAAACTTCTTTCTGCTGTCATTTCCCTCCTTACATCTGAGTGTAGTGTGTGACTGTGGCAACAGCTTTTTCTATTAGTTAACATTTGGCAGACAAGCTGCTATAATCAATAATTTAATACCAACAATGGATCAAACAACTACAGGTGTGTGAATGATGTTGCTCACAGTGATAAACCCACAGATATCCCCTGATGCAGTTCCTCTCAGCTCTGTGGAGCGTTTCAGCCTGTTTCAGCTCAATGCTGGTTGTTCTATGGTTTACTCTCATTGCTCCCAACAACTTAAAGGGCTACAGTTTGTCAATACGTTGTTTACAGTCTGTTTCCTCTGCACCCAAGCGGCCAAAAATGAGTTAATGCTGGTTGAAAGCCTGCATGTGTGATCTGACCCTGGAGCAGCAAAAATGAGAAAGAGCTTTAAGCAACACATACTGCACCAAGTTTCACCAGGATTGCCTCATTTTTCTGCAAACTAAACCTAATTCATCAGAATGATTTAACAGATTCTATCAAATATCAAACTATTTTGTACACATAAGGCCTTTAAATTAAAAAGCAGTCAAGACTGTCTGTCCAGAAAATTACACTACACTGATCCCACTGATACCTGATAAACAATAAACTAAACACAGCAGAGATGAGCATGATGCACGCTGCAAGCAGCAGGGACAGTGCTGTGTTATTACACACACTCATGTGCTGCCACCACCTGGTAACACTGCTAAGTGCCCTGCCGGTCAACTGTTCTCATCACATTCAGGTGTTGCAAAACCTGATTGTGAAGCAGCTCTGACCTCCACTCCACCGACAGTGTACTGTAACCACACACCTCTCAACTCTGACAATGTTTTTACAGACTGAGTAAGAACTGTTGATCATTGGAGGATTTCTGTCAGTCAATCAATCAATCAATCAATCAATGAATCAAGACTTTGTTTATATTTTATTTGTAATTCACATGAGAAATGCAGTGTCATAATCAACATCAATCAAATTCAAACAGGTGAAGAAATAAAATACAGAAGAAGATGATGTAAAACAAGCGATTACAATCATAGTAAAAAAGGTTTATTTATTGGTATTGTTTATATTATTTGATAAGCTTTTAGAGGATTATTCTGTGCTTGTAATTCTGTATTGTACAAGTGAGACCTATTTTTAATAATGATATTTAGTTTCTTAATAAAATCCTCTGTACCTGGTATTTTAAAACAATATCCGACCATAATTCCACTAATGGCCTCCATGAAAATCACCACTACAGACACAAGAGGAGCCACGAGACCCACTGCAGAATCACCCTGCAGAAAGCAAAACGCTGTCTGCTGAGAGACATTTCACTGCTAACAACTCTAGAGTTGACTGTACACATGAACGGAGAAGAATCCCACAAACACAAATAAAAACTGATTCGGCACAAAAGGTATAAAGAGATAAAATAATAAGAGAAACTGAAGAGAGACTTCAAAACAAAGCACTTCAGTTAAAGTCTGCTTTCTCTCAAAGTTGTTGATCTACCTCACACGATCTTCACACTCCTCACTTCCTTTCTGGGAATCAGACGTCGCAAGGAGTGGATGGAAAAGCAAACACATCGTGCAGTTTGTGTGTGTGTGTGTGAGAGAGTGTGTGTGTGTGTGTGTGTGTGAGTGTGTAAATGCTGCTGTGATACATGCAGGTAATGTGTTTGTGTGTGGAGGAGGCAGTGAGGTGGCACGTGGGGTTAAAAGTCCAAACCACCCCAATGAAGGAAACACCAACTGTTGGAGCGATGTCAACAGCACGATTACTTCCAGGGTCACAATGCAGGTGTTTGTAAAAACACCTTAAAATAAGCACTTTTTTTTATATAAATATATGTACATTTTCTCCTGTCTATGAGCATTTACAATTTTGAGGTTGTCCAGTTCATGAAAGCTTCTCTGTTTTCCGTCAGAAACATTTGGTGTGTGCCAGGGAAATCTTTATTTAAAACTCTTTCAAACAAAAAGCAATGAGTTTACAACAAAGCTAGTTTGGAATAAATTAAAGAACTGGGTTGTTATAATGAGACAGAGTGCCTCCTACTGCTACTCAAACCTCATTAACAGAAAGACAAACAATGTCACTGATCCATCCATAGTCTGAGCCAAAAAATACAGATTTGGGCAGATTTGCTGTCTCGGTGGAGCTCAAGTGAGTCAAGCAAGGTGGCAGCACCTAATAGCCAACAGAGAAACATCAAGTCCCCAGGAACAGTGGAGTGCCATGGGGAAATGTTGGCCTATAGTCAAAGCTGTAACTACATTTAGTCATCATACATTTAGTTTTCTTAAAGATCCAGTGTGAGGATCTACTGGCAGAAATTGAATATAATATTCATCAGTATGTTTTTATGTGTGTATAATCACCTGAAATAGGAATTGTTATGTTTTTGTGACTAATGACTCCCAAGGCAGTCTCTAAAGGCTTCGCTCAATAGAGATGACTTTATTTTAGTTATGTTGCTGAAACTGGTTGGAAATAGAAACAAAAAAAATCTGCATGGCAGAACTAATCCAAAGTCTTTAGCGCGATGACATATGGAAAAATTATTCACTTTATCTCCAGTTTGTTTCGCTGCGGAGGAGAATGGGGGGGGAGCATTGTTTCAGGTAAGGCGTGTCCTTGAAGTAAGGGGAGTACGTCTCTTCTCGCTGCTGTTCAAGAAACATCTTTGCATTCAGGAATCCAGTACGGACAAACCAAACGCTGACTCTAGATAGGGCCTTTTCGTTCTTCTACGCACGAGAAAGCCGAGTGGTATTCAGCTGGTTACAATATGCAACTTCATTGCAAGATACCACTAGATCCTACACACTGGTCCTTTAAAAAATGTCTGTGAAACTAAGGAATATTTCCTGACACATGAAAAACATCTCTTTGACTTAAGATAAAATATATTTTATAAACCACCAAGAATCCTTTCACACAATAATTTGTTTTCATTTCCCTTTGTGACTCTCATTCAACCAGAGAGATGTAATAATTCTGATGAGTCAAGGGGCATGAAATTGGAAAGCTTTTTCATGCAGTGACTTAGCAGCTTCAAACAGATTAGCCATCATGTTTGGATATTTGGTTCAGTGTTTAGCTTGGCTCCAACAATAAGCTGGCTGCTTGTTTTAAGCAGTGCACCACTCCCAAACTAGCACTGTGAGTTTGAGACCCAAAAGGCCACGCTGTGTTGAGAAAACAGCCTCAGGCTACTTGCAACGAATTAACTCTCATAATATCATTGTTTGACGACACTGTGTTGACAGATTCTCCTCCAAGAATTCTTTTCTGAGAGTCATGCCCGACTACAAAGACTGCTGGATTCTTTGTGGGCGCCTTTACGTTATTTAAAACTTAACAAGCTTCTTATTCAGAAGATGTGGCTGCCAACACAAGCATTGATCGTAAAGTTATTTCTTCAGCCAGCCAGTCTGAAAACAAATGCCCTTCATCAGCTTGACAATAATCTAAAAACAGAATGTTTCCCATGTAACTCCTAACAAGGTTATTTCCTGTTTGATTATTGTGTTCTTGTAGTCCTTTGAAGAAAACCTCAGACAGGACACACATATTAGTCAGCGTTTCTCTCATTGCTCAGTGGTCGGTCTCCTCCATCACCTCCATCACCACAGTTCTGGGTCCTGTTAGGATCAGGTGGCTGACAGTGCGGTAGTCCAGATTGAGGACATTGAGCCCGTTGACTGAAACCACAAACTGACAAACCTGTAGATAGAGAAGAGAGGGAACCACTAAGAGAAGTGAGAAGAAAAGTAATGTGGGAGTCAAAGACAAATTCACTGATTCACCTCTAGGGTGGCACTGGGAGCAATTCACTTCTACAGCAGATAGTTAATGTGTGAGTTTCACTGCACGTTATACTCTCAAATTACAAAAAGCCAGGCCCACTATAAATAATTTAACTTCTTTTAACCCATTAATGCCTCATACTTTGACTGATTTGAACAATTCCAATGGATTTGTGCTTAGCTCAGCTGGTAAGTGCTGTACAGGAAGTAATAAAATCTACTATATACATTAAAGAAATAACCATTTTCACTACATTTTCCACGATGCCTACCTTCATCCCAGCAGCATCAGCTGGGCCACAGGGCTCCACAGCCTGGATGTGACACGGTCTGTTCCCTCTCACTACAAACCCCCAACCCACTGCATCGCCCACAATCTGGGAACACACAGAGAGCTCAGTCAGACATTCATCTGCAGCAAACAAGTCTGGAGAAAAGTCCCAAAGAAACCTATTGTACTGAATCCAGCAAGAACATAGTTAGTAGTTAGTGCAATAGTTGGCATAAAACAAACAAAAGAGAGTGTGATAGTGAACACTTTTGTAAAAGAAAAAGACATAGAAGATTATCAGACTTGCTACAGAGCAGTGGAATGTAACTCCGTACATTTACTCAAGTACTGTTCTTGAGTACAAATTCAAGGCACTTTCAGTCAGTTTCCTCCACTAAATCAGTAATAAAATATTGTACATTTTATCTCCAGATGTGCTGATTTTAAATGTTTGTGATAAACTAAAGTATTCAGTTTTCCTTTATGGGTTGAGAAAATTCTCCTACTTCTTTTTAGAGATACAGTGGTGTGAAAAAGAACCAATTGAAATCAGGTGTGGGACACCCACAACTCAGTTGAGATACAGTAATGCTTAGTATATTTAGAGCAAAAGAAGGGAGCTGTTTTTCAGAGCGAGAGGGCTTTCAACATTTCCATCTTTTTTCGACACTTATGGGCCAAGATGGTTTGTGGGAGAAATATCTATTCTCCACCACCTTTAATAAGTAATCAATATTTTTCCCTTCATGTTTACGAAACTTGGCAAGTTGGCTGTTGTGTTTACTCGCTGTGTTGTCCTTGACTATTGTCTCTAAAATGAAGTGGTTTGATTGTTCCGGACAAACACCTTTGTAATCAAGTGTGACAAAGAACATGCAAAGAGACAGGAAATGAGCGAGGGGAAACGA